GTGAATTTGAGTCATTCAACCACCTCATAATCACTACCACCAACCCCCGTCACCACTACTCACCGCCTCCAAATGTCTCTACCATCAGTCTCCACTGCGCAAGTACCACCGCCAATAACCTTTACCTCTAGTCACCAAACACCTGTACCACCAACTTCTACTGCACAACCATCATCTCCACTGTCAGTCACCACCATCAGCCACCACTGCACAACCACCATCTCAACCTCCTCCGCACTACCATGACCACTGATAGCCCGCTGCAGCTAGATTTTAGAGTGTGCTTCATCAAAGAAACAATATATATAAACTCTCTATTTATTAGGTCAACAACAACAACAACAAACCCAGTATAATCCCACAAGTGGGGTCTGGATGTTGTAAGCACAAAATCTTAAGTATTCAATGTTGAGATTCAGACGTCTTAATCGAATAAAATCAAATGGGGCCTAAGTAGTTCCATGGCACTAGTAATGTCAAAACAATGGTTCCATGACAGTAGTTACTTAAAATTAGTAAAAACAGTAATTTGGATAAGGTGAGAAACTTTTTAGATTACATTATTTTCCCTTAATATTGATTTTCTATATTGGCTGACTGTAAAATGCCAAAAATCACATTAATTATAGAACTTAGCTGGAATAAACTTTTTAAACTTGTTCTGCAGGTTCCTTCTCATGTGTTGATGGGTATATCACGTAATAGTGAAACTATGTCTCTGTCTCCACTTGGTGAAGCCTGCTTGAGAATGGATTTAACTGCCATCCATGAGATTTTAGAAAAGCTCGGGTACAAAGACGATGAGGGAGCAGCTACTGAGGTTTGTTTCTATCAATGATTATTTTGAGGCGTTGATGTCTTCATCCTGTACATGCATGTTATCAATCTTTTATCTTTTATCAATCCTTTTGGCGTAAGTTTCCAATGCAAGTAGAATGATTGTTCTCAGTTCTCCGACACGTGAGACAATTTGAAGTATCAATCAGCTCCTTAGCAGTTTCATTTTGTAACTTATTGCTTGTTCATATGGTTATCAAATCCAACTTACTATACACCTTTGGAAGCCAATTATCGAAGTCTCATGATAGCCATACACCTTCGGAAGCCAATTATCAAAGTCTCATGATAGCCACACTTTTCAATGTTGGTTGCAGCTTTCATTCCAAATGTGGACAAATCAGATGCAGGAAACATTGAACTCCAAGAAAAAGGGTGATGCTGCTTTCAGGCACAAAGATGCTAAGGCTGCCGTCGAATGCTATACACAGGTTGGAAATTATTATTCTCGATTGGTTTTAATACTCTTAATCATTTCACTAAAGTTTGAATATGATACCTATGTTGCATTGAGGCTCTGATTCATTCTTTACAACTGTGCTTTCTTAGGGGAGATATAGCTTGTAGACTAAGGCTTTATACACTCGGGTAACGGGATAAATAATAGTGCACAAAATATGGTTTAAACAGAATGGTAACTTATTCTTGAGATTGTTACTGAACTCTTGGGACTTATTATAATGATAACATATTCTTGAGATTGTTACTGAACTCTTAGGACTGATTATAGTGATAACATATCCTTGAAATTGTTACTGAACTCTTAGGACTGATTATTGTAGTGTCGATTAATGTTTATAGGGAAAGTGGTGGTGGATTTAATCTATTTATGAAGTACATTATTCATTTAGTATGTTGCTTGGTTTTGCAGTTCATCGATGTTGGAACAATGGTCTCCCCAACTGTGTATGCTCGACGTAGTCTGTCTTATCTCATGAGTGATATGCCGCAGGAAGCCCTTAATGATGCAGTACAAGCACAAGTAATATCTCCTGTTTGGCATATTGCATCATATTTACAAGCTGCTTCTCTTTTTGCGATGGGAAGGGAAAATGAGGCACAAATTGCACTTAAAGAGGGTTCTGTTCTTGAAGAAAAGAAGAACACAACATCCTGACTGTGGCGAGCTGAACCGCTGTGATCTTTTACTTTATTGCTCCGTTGCAGGGGTTTGGACATAGATCACAAAAGTGTTGTTTTTCGAACAGAGGCTGTTCGATCTGTCGCCTTGTGCATTCGATGATTAAGTAGGTTTGGTTTACTTCAGAGCATTCTTTGGCAACATATAATTGGATGGGGTTGGTTTTGGTCACAGCTTTTGTGGGAATCGATTGGCCTTTTCCAATAACAATATTCTCTGGGAATAATCCAATGCCATTGGTTCCTTAAGGATCCAAGATCTGTGGAAAAGGAAAGCTGGAGAAACTTGCTGTGCTGTAATTTATGTACAGTGCTATTTGGCTGCTCAACTAAGATTGTTTTGATTCTCTCTTAGTCTTATGTTATCTTTTTTCTTGAAAATCCTTCCTTTTTCTTTCTTCTCTTGGAGTTGGGGGGTCAATATCCTTTGTTTGTGGTGGTAATTTATCTTGCAGTACTTAATTTAAGTATTTGTTACTGGTCTAACTTGCAGAATATTGTTTGTAACGTTTGTATCTTATTTCAAGAATCAAGTTTGAAGGCTTGTGGCAAATTATTTATACAGCTAGTAGCTCATTCACATTTTGTTGGAATATAAGTTCTCTTTTCCAATTTGTTATATTGTCTCACATAGGTTAATAACTCCTTATATTATCTGTGGTTTTCCCACTTCAAGAGTTAACTTTTGTGGTTGAGTTAGGCGTAAAGTTCATTTTCTTAATATGGTACAAGACCTGAGTTATGCATGGTAATGTTGAGTTGTTACCTAGTTGGTATCGATGCCAGATCTATCCGTATTCTTGGTTTATTCAATATTCTGCCTCCATCTTATGTTGTCCACTACCCAATCTTGTGCATTCGGGGAGCTCATATTTTCTTATATGGTCTTGGGCTATTCTCATCTCAAGAGCCGGCTCCATGGGGTTGAGTAGGAGTCGGCTCATGGGATTGAGTAGAGCCTAAGGTCCGATTTTTTAACTATCTTCTTTCCAAACAACCCTAAGCATATCTTTTCCCCTCCTAGGGTTGGGAGTTTGTTAATGATGGGTGAAGTTCAAGTTATAGCCATTTAGAATTATTGCCTTTGTTTTGCATGGAAGTACGCGTCATAGCTTAACAAGTACACGTCACTTGATGAATAGATCATACTAATTCAGTAATCTTGATTAATATAGCTCTCAATCATTAATCTAGAAATGACACCAGTAGCCACTCTACGGGGCTGCTATTTAACTTTTAGCCAATGCAACTTGAATTTCATTTTTTCAGAACAAAATTGTCATGAATTTTCTTGAAGTTAAGGTTTTTTGTTTAAAATTTTATGATAAAATAAGTACTGGCTAATTTCTAAATAGCATCCATGAGAATGACTATCTGTGCACTTGCCCCATCATTAATGATGCTTTGAGATACTACATATCCCCCACCATCATAAGATTATTATTTTTAACTCATCTTACTTGGGAGCCTGGGAGCAATGATAAAGTTGTCTCTGTATGACCTAAAAGTCACGAGTTCGAGTAATGGAAGCAATCACTAATGTTTGCATTATGGTAGATTGTGTAAATCACATCCCTTAAGGTATGGTTTTTTCGCGGACCCTTCATGAATGCATGTTGCTTTGTGCACCGGCTGCCCTCTGGCAAAAGTTGATTGAAGGTAGTTTTTTTTAGTTTCCCACCCGGTATTCGGTATCCGCATTGGAGCCCGACTATATCCGGATTCGCGCCGGATAGGGCCTCATTTGGGGGGAAGTGCTCCCTACCAAGGATTTTTCCATACCCAAGACTCGAACCCGAGACCTCTAGCTAAGGGAGGAGCAGTCTCATCCGATACACCACATCCTTTGGTGATGTTTGAAGGTAGTTGATTACAAATGCAACAATTATTACCTATTTCTAATACTGCACAAACTATATAGCAACACTAATAGGAAATCCATTGTCTCCAAATAACAATTAAGCACCAACCACACAACAATTTGGCAACAAAAGGATTTACCTTATATATACATAGATAATGTAAAGAATATCTCCCACTCTTAACAAAATCCCAAAAAAACTCATGAATTCTACAATCTCATTTTTTCAAATTTGCTTTTAGGAAAAATGATAGTTATTTAATTTACATAATCATCCATGAACTTTTGTAAATTTCATGAATGACTCTTAAAACTTTACAAAATAAGCCATTGGTCTTCCCTCCAATAAAAGTACCAATGACTTTGATTTTTTTCTTTAATTTTGAATTCTTTTTATATTAACAATGAAAATTTATGCAACAAATGACTCCCTTCTTTTCTTTAGATTTGCTGCAGTTTCTGGAGTTCCTTTTCTCATCATAGCTACAAACTCTTCATAGTTGATTCGACCATCCTGCAAAAATAAATAATTTTATTTATTCATGAATTACCAAATATATTTGAAAATTTAATGTTTGGTAGAAAGGGAAAATATATTTTGAATAATATTTTATAAAAAATGGCTTCTTTATAGAGTAGTTATATTTCAGGGGTGCTCAGTTGGAGAGTGAAAAATACTTTTCAAAATAAATAATATAACTGACATTTATAATAATGTTAGCAAGTCGGATAGTATTTTGATGAAAATTTTCCGTATATTAAATATTAATAGTAATGTGTAACTATTGGTTGGAGCAATGACATGAAGTTTCTTGTTGAGATGATTGTGAACGAAAATAACTTTATCCCAAAAATGCGGAAATTCATTTTTCATCTTTTGGTGAAAAATGTTTTTTTTTTTAGAAAATATTTTTTTGATAACCAAACATCAGAAAATAACTTGTTGTCCCGAAAACCTTTTTTTAAGAAAAAATTTGGAAAATATTTTCCGTCATACCAAGTATTTCATATAACGTGTACTCATGTTTTAAGCTTACATTATTAGAGTCAACTTCAGCAACAATTTCCTTTATATCCTTTCCATCAGTCATTCCAAATTCTCTTAAAGCTTGCTCTAACTCTTCTATTGTAATGTACCTGGACAAATTGAAAGAAAATAAATCAAATTTTAATCTATGAGAAAGTTGGTTACAAATATTACAGAGGTAACTAATTCTTCTTATGCGATCAGTATGTATAAATTAAATCCTCGAACAGGACTTACCCGCTATTATCCTTGTCAAAATATTGGAATGCAGTGTAAAGATGTTCTTCTTTGTCCATTCTGTTCATGTGCATTGTTGCTGTAATAAATTCTTCATAATCTATGGTTCCATTTCCATCAGCATCAGCCTAATTTAATATATTCAATGAAAATTAACATTAACTTGACGCAGTGGCGGACGTAGGATTTTCATCAAGGGAATTCAACAACAACAACACAGTGGAATCCCACAAGTGGGGTCTGGGGAGGGTAGTGTGTACGCAGACCTTACCCCTACTCCGGAGGGGTAGAGAGGTTATTTTCGATAGACCCTCGGCTCAAGAAGATGAAAAGAGATAGTGGAGCAGTAATAGCAAAGGGAGCAAGAAAGATAACATCAACAACATAATAACCATAAAATAGAGAGAAAAGAAATAACAATAGGCAGTAACAATGGCACAGTACTATATACACAATGGAGTAATATGGATACAACAAGAGCCACTAGCATCCTAAGACACTACACTATCGGACTAGCCTCCTACGACCTAACCTGCAACCCTAATGAAGTAATATGGACACAATTGAAGCCACTAGCAGCTTAAGGCAAAATACAGACTAGCCTCCTACCTCTTAACCTACAACCTTAGTGCTCGCCCTCCACAACGTCCTAACAAGGGCCATGTCCTCGGGAATCTGAAGCTGCACCAAGTCCTGCCTGATCATCTTTCCCCAATATTTCTTAGGCCGTACTCTACCTTTTCTCACACCCGTCAAGGCCAGTCGTTCACACCTCCTAACCGGGGCATCCATACTTCTCCTCCATACGTGCCCGAACCATCTAAGCCTAACTTCCTGTATCTTGTCTTCTATGGGAGTCACGCTCACCTTCACCAGGATATCTTCATTCATAATCTTATCCAGCCTAGTCTGCCCACACATTCATCTCAACATCATCATCTCTGCAACTTTCATCTTTTGGATATGAGAATTCTTGACTGACCAACACTCTGCACCATACATCATGGCCAGTCTAACTACCGCTCTATATAACTTACCTTTAAGTTTTGGGGGCACCTTCCTGTCACACAAGACACCAGACGCTAGCCTCCATTTCATCTACCCCACCCCTATACGGTGTGTAACATCCTCATCAATCTTCTCATCCTCTTGGATAACCGACCCCAGGTACTTAAAACTCCATTTTTTGGGAATGACTTGAGAGTCAAGCCTAACGTCCATGTCTGCTTCTCCCGAAACGCCGATAAACTTGCACTCCATATATTTTGTCTTAGTCATGCTCAACTTGAAATCTTTAGACTCAAGGGTCTATCTCTAAACCTCCAACCTCTCGTTAACATCGCCTCGCGTCTCATCGATAAGGACAATATCATCGGCGAATAACATATACCATGGCACCTCCCCTTGGATATGGTGTGTTAGTATGTCCGTCGCCAAGGCAAATAAGAACGGGCTTAGCGCCGATCCTTGGTGTAAACCCATAACAACTGAAAAATGCTCCTAGTCGCCCCCCACTATCCTAACCCGAGTCTTAGCTTCATCATACATGTCCTTAATCACCCTAATATAAGCAACCGGAACACCTTTCACCTCCGGGCATCTCCAAAGAACTTCCCTAGGAACCTTGTCATATGATTTTTCTAGGTCAATAAATACCATGTGCAAGCTTTCTTCCTATCCCTATACAGATCAACCAATCTCCTTATAAGATGGATAGCTTACATAGTATAACGACCAGGCATGAATCAAAACTGGTTATCGGATATTGACACTGACCTCCTCACCCTCACTTCCACTACCTTCTCCCAAACTTTCATGGTATGACTTAGTAACTTGATACCCCTATAGTTGTTACAATTCTGGATATCACCTTTGTTCTTGTATAGTGGTATCATCGTACTACACCTCCATTCTTATGGCATGTTCTTCGTCCTGAAAATAATATTAAACTGCCCAGTTAGCCACTCCAATCCTGCTATACACACCAACCTCCAGAATTCTACCAGAATCTCGTCGGGCCCGGTCGCTCTTCTCCTGTGCATATTACGCATATCCCCTACGGTCTCCTCGACCTTAATGCGCCTACAGTAGCTAAAATATCGGTGACTCTCGGAGTGCTCCAATTCCCCTAGCACAATATCTTTGTCCCCTTCGTCATTCAGCAATTTATGAAAGTAGGTCTGCCATCTCCGTTTAATCTGAGCATCTTCCATCAACACTCTGCATTTCTCGTCCTTGATGCACCTCACTTGGTCTAGATCATGAGCCGTCCTTTCTCTCGCCTTGGCCAGCCGGAATAACCTCTTGTCCCTGCCTTTGTCCCCCAGCTCTTCGTACAAGCGACCAAATGCTGTAGTCTTAGCCTCCGTGACCGCTAACTTCGCCACCTTCCTAGCTGTCTTATATCTTTCTCTGTTCATCCTCCTTTCCTCCTCGTCTGTACTCTCCACTAACCTCCGG